TCGCCAGACCGCGCCGGCGTGCCGGCGTGCGGCCAAGAACGGCGGAGGGATGCCTGCGCTCAGTGAAGGAATGCCTTTATCGGATGACGGAATCCCGGTACTCGATGGAGGATTTCGTTATCTGGTGACAGTGGTAGGGGGATTTCTTCACCGTCGAACTGGCCGACGCGGGCGTCGGCAACGGCCGCAGCTCGTCCCCCTCAGACGCCGGCCCCCGACTGCCTCCCCTGCGTGGGCTTCGACATGCGGCCAACGCTGCGCGGACCGGACAGAGCCAACTGGCCCCGTGCGCCGCGCATGGTGACTCGCCCTCCCCGCGCTCCGAAGGCGGGGGCCGATATGAACCTCGCTGGGCAACGGCCAAGCGTCCGCCGAATCAGACCGCTCCGACGCCGCCGAGCGGCGCCGGCGGCTGCGCGCCCCTGGTGGAACGGGCCTGCGGCGGACGCCTGATCACGTGACCGCGTCCCGTGACGTCAGGCCGGGGGGCCGCGCGGCGACGGGCGGCCGGTCCGCCGCGCTCGCCGCGACCTCAGACTCGGTGATGACGGCGCTTCAGCGACGAGACGCGCCTCAGCTTCCGCGAGCTGGCCATCGAGCGGGCGGCGGCGCCCTACCGCGCAGCGCCATCGATCGCCTCCAGTCGCAACTTCAAGTCGTCGGAGTTCGCTTCGATGTGGCGCGGCGGTGGGCGCCTGGCGCTGGCCGGCTGCTCAGCAAGCGCAAGTCGCAGAGCGTGACGCGGCTGGCACCGGCGGCGCCGGCCGCGCTGGACAAGGCGCGCAGCGTGACGACCCTGGGCCGACCGGAGCGGGCCGGACACGGCGATGCCGGGTCAGGGTCAGGGTCAGGGTCAAGGTGAAGGCCCTCAGCGGGAGGACCCAGCCGAGCGACTGCAGGCTCGCCCAAACCGTCACCAGCCTCGTCGGAGACCAAGGTCAGTAACGGAATGTCAGGACTGATGCATAGATGGGCCTGGGTCTCCCGCACCTGGTCTGCGCATAGGTGCTCTTGTTATTCGGCCCCGAGATGGGGTCACTGCCTAATGATAATGTCATTGCAGTTTGGTATTTCTGGTTCAAACAGGGGGTCGCTTTAACCTGAAATCTTAAATTTCCGTGGCTTGCATGGTTCCTGGTTGGCACATGATGCGCTTTTGACATTATTTTTCTTATGTCACGTCACTCGCATGCATGCATGGTCAGGCATTTAATGTTCTGCTGTGAAGCTTCTCCACAAGTGAGGTGCCGTTGTCGCGGGCTCAGATTTGGCTGTTGTCGGTGAAGCGCTCTGGGGCTCTGGTGATCCGGAACACTGGCGCTGGTGATCCGGAGCGCTCTGGGGCCCTGGTGATCCGGATCACTGGCGCTCTGGTGGTCCGGAGCGCTCTGGCGCTCTGGTGGTCCGGAGCGCTCTGGCGCTGGTGATCCGGAGCGCTCTGGGGCTCTGGTGAGCGGAGCGCTCTGACCCTCTTGTGGTCCGGGGCGCTCTGGCGCTCTGGTGGTCCGGAGCGCTCTGGCGCTGGTGATCCGGAGTGCTCTGGGGCTCTGGTGGTCCGGAGCGCTCCGACCCTCCTGTGGTCCGGGGCGCTCTGGCGCTCTGGTGGTTCGGAGCGCCCTGGCTGGTACCTCACCGCCGCGCAGCTCAGCTGCGGCAGGCAGATCCCACCGATTGTAACGACGCGTCCGCTCGCGCGGCAGCCGACGGTGGACTTCGTGCGGCGGAATCGGCAGCTGGCCGGCAAGCCAGCGGAATCGGAGGAGCCGCAGCCAGCCGCCACCGCCCGAGGCCCGGCCGCAGCCGCAGCCCGGCCAGGTGCCCAGGTATGGAACAGGAGGCGGCCTCTGACGGCCGGCAGCGGGCGAGCGCCGTCCGCGGGGGTCGCTGCCGATGTACAATGCCAGCGGCGAGACGGCGGGCTGCATTGTCAGTTGCCTGTTTGGGTGCTGGTTTCCTCGACCGTTCCATGTTGAACGCGGGCCCTGCCGCCCGATGTTGGCGTAGGAGGTGCTCTGAACAGCATGACTAGCGTTTGGAGATCGGAAATCGACTGTCAGCTGGGCATGCTGCTGAGCGGCGAGCGGTCCCAAGTGTGTGTGTGTGCGTGCGTGCGTGCGTGCGTGCGTGCGTGCGTGCGTGCGTGCGTGCGTGCGTGCGTGCGTGCGTGCGTGCGTGCGTGCGTGCGTGCGTGCGTGCGTGCGTGCGTGCGTGCGTGCGTGCGTGCGTGTGTGTGTGTGTGTGTGTGTGTGTGTGTGTGTGTGTGTGTGTGTGTGTGTGTGTGGTGTGTGTGTGTGTGTGTGTGTGTGTGTGTGTGTGTGTGTGTGTGTGTGTGTGTGTGTGTGTGCGCGCGCGCGCATGTGTGTGTGTGTGCGTGTGTGTGTCCTCGCGTGCTTGTCTTCGTGTGTTTGTGCTCATGTGGGTGTCCTCACGCATGTCTCCTCACGCGTGTCCTGACATGTGTACGCGCTGCAGGTACCTGCGTCGGCGGCAGGAGGAGTGGCGCGAGGCCCGGGAGGAGGAGCGCCGCCGCCGTCCTGATCCCGCCTGCCCGCCCGACCACAGCCGCATGCCCGACGAGGAGCGGCTCCAGACGCTCGCCGTCCTCAGAGAGAGTAAGGAGGCGGGGGCTGGACGTACTCAGGGGAGACGGGTGAGAGGCCGTCAGAGAGGCGGAGACGAGCGGGACCGGAGGCCGGCCACGTGGTGCGTGCTGAGGGGAGAGCAAGGAGACAAGGGGAGACGCGAGACGGTCGTCAGATGAGGGAAAAAGATGCGAGATGAAAACTAATGGCGGCGTAGGCACCGTGCTGGGCGCCGTGCAGTGGCAGAAGCCCGCTGCCTGTCTGCTGTGTCTGTGCGTGTGTGACAGCCGTGGCCCATGTCTCTCCAGACCAGGAGAGCCTGCTGTGTGTGTGTTTGTGTGACAGCCGTGCCCCATGTCTCTCCAGACCAGGAGAGCGTGCTGTGTTTGCGTGTGTGACAGCCGTGCCCCATGTCTCTCCAGACCAGGAGAGCCTGCTGTCGGAGCTGCGCTCACTGCCGATCGCCCACTCCAGCGTCCGGCTGCTGGCGCAGCGCACCTCGCTGGAGCGCCAGCTGGAGAAGGTGGAGCAGGGCATCCGCATCTTCTCCCGGCCCAAGGTCTTCATCAAGAACGAGCCCTGACGCGGCGGGCGGCGGCGGCCGGGCTGGCGCGGAGCCGAGCCGCGCCGCGCCGAGCCCGGCCGGTGGGGCGGTCAGCGGTGGCGCAGACGGACTCCTCTGCCCCTGCTGAGGCCGGCCTGGCGTCGGACGGGACGCGGTTGCTACCTCTGATGGGACACGGTTTGGCCTCTAAGCCTCGGCGCTCTTTCCCCAACGCCCGTGAAAGGCCGAGTGGACGGATGCGTCGGAGCATGCGGTGCGTTTAAAATTGCACGTGCAGTGTTTTGGTCGGTGTGGGTGGAATGCGTTGCCAGGGAGCCGCACCCGTTCCGTTCAGTTCAGACAGGAAGCGCGCGGACCGAGCTGAGCGCTGTCCCCGGCGTAGGGTCGTCACGGGGTGGGGACACCGCCCCGCACCTTCCCGATCTCCCAGTGCGGCGGTGTCGGCCATAGCGCCTGCAGCGCTGCATTCTACGGGTGGACGGCGCGGGGCGTTGTCGAGCTGGTGCGATGTTGTGCACGTCAGCGCGCCACCATGCCAACGGTGCGTCGTGTTGCGTGTGACTTCCGTCGGGCCCGGTCTCGTTCGGAGCGGCTCGGCGCCGGAGATGGTAACGCCCGTGACCTGTGGCGGGAGCCTCCAGGCCGGTGGATGGCTCGCCCCGCTCGGAGGCGTGCCGGGCCGGTGGGTGGCTCGCCTCGCTCGGAGGCCAGCCGTCGTCTCAGGCGCGGCGGTCGACTGTCACCCGGTCGTGCGCGTGAGGCCGGGGCGGGCGCGGCGCGTGCGGCGCCGCTCGCCTGGCGTCCGTCCGGCGGCGTCTGGCGACGCTCCCGGTCCGCCGACGGCCGAGCTGTCCCGGCGCCCGCGCCCGCTGCAACTGAGCCCACACGGAGCCTCGTGACCAGGCGGCGGGGTGCACCGGCCGGCCCAGAGGCACCGGCTGGGGGCGTCTCCGCCGCGCGGTGCAGGATGGAGGGAGGGGGGGACCTGCTGCGGAGCTGCCGCTGTTCACCTGGAATGGAGGGGGGGGGGGGGCGTCAGCGGAGGGCCGCCTCGGCCGCCCCATGCAACGCGCGTCGTGCCTTGGTGCTTGACGTGCATTGAAGTGTCGTTCCGTCCGCGAAACCAAACAGGAGGTCCAATATTGAGCTTTGTTTTCGTGCTCTCTTCCACGCTGGAGAAATTGCAGGATGTGTTACGTGGAGTGGAGTCGCGTACTATTCCGTATGCGTTTACAGTACCGTGTGTTTGTAGGGGCCTGAGAGCCGACCCTTGCGAATCCGCTGTGATATTGAGGGCCCGACTAGATGATCCCTCTCCAAAGTCATAGAAGTTCCGCCGCCTCCGCTGATGGGGCGCGGCGAGCGCGGACGCCCTCCGCACCATCCGAAGAGTAGATTAGATCCGCACTATTTAGTTTGCTCCAGGAATGCCTGCCTAGTCACGTGTTTTTCGTGTGTGGGTGTGCGCCGCTGGAGAGTTCGCCGGCGGTGCGAGCGTGTTGCTCCGGCGGCGCCGCGTTGGTTCGGCGGCGCTGTCCGGCCCTTGCCGCGCGCCGGTGGGCCGACCCACGGCTGCGCGTCCGTGAAATACACACCACTGTGTTGGCATCGGTGTGGTGAGGTGAGAGAGTGAGAGTGAGGCAGCAAGATGGCCGAATTCTGGAGCCAGAAGTCCCAAAAGTGCCTGTCCTACAACGGTGCTCGTGTGCTTTCATGAATGCATCCGCGCCTATAATCTGCATTTTCTGTTCGTAAAAAGATGAACGGGAACATTACCCGCCTGGGGTGTTCGCAAGTGGGCGGCTAGAGCGCTCTCGGTGAAAATCCGCCGGTTTCGTGCGTTTATTGCTTGCTCGCTGAAATCCGAGGACATAAAAAACATTGTACGAAGACGAGTACGTCGCAAACGGCCTGATGTGCCATGACGCTAGCGGCTAGTGGGCTACCCTCGTTCCACCGGCTCCACGGCCCGGCCAGCCGGTCCAATAACGCCGTTCGAAGACAGCCTCCCGGTGAGACGCTGTTGGTGGACAGCCCCGCCGACAGTCAGCCCCACCCGTCGGCTACACGTTAAAGTACAGAAAATCCAGCAGCATGGCGGCGCCCAGAAGCGTGATCTTGGCGCGCGACGGCAGGCCGCGGTCGAACTGCACGCCGTAGTTGTCGCTGCGGCGGAACACGTCGACGTTGAGCGGCCTCCAGCGGGCCCCGACGCTGCCCAGGCGCGCGCGCCCGTACATGCTGAGGATGTGGAAGCTGCTGGTGGCGTTTGTGGCGCAGCAGCCGCGGCGCGGGCCGCGCACGCGCAGCACCACGCCACCGCGGATGCCGCTGCAGACGAACTCGGCGCGGGTCGGGTGCCAGCGCTGCCGGATGACACCGTAGAACAGCTCCGACGGGGCGGCGTCTGTCGCGTCCTGCCGGCGCGCGGGGCAGAGGTCAGGGGAGGAGGCGCTGAGGCGGTCATCAGTGTGTGCAAGGTCATCGACGTGCGCTCTCCGCCAGCGCTCTGGCGGATACCGAATGGCAGTATTGCCGAGTTATTGCTTGCCAACACACGGCCTGTGATTTGTTTGTTTGGATTCACGGCATAACTCCGTTAGGAGTATAAGGTTGTAGATTGTGACGCAAAACAGCAATTTTTTTCGCGTCATTTGACAATCGTTTCCACATTTCATTCATATCCAGTAGCATTAGATGTTAGAGGCGCAGGTCTTCGCCCTGCGGAGTACATGATGAAGTTATTGTTGGCGGCCCCTGTCACTGCACTTCCCACCTGGTGCTCCTCCTGTGTACGGATCACGTCTGTGGGATAGGCCTGCTGCAGACAGCAGGGGCTCCAGCAGGTGGTCCTACCTGGTGCTCCTCCTGTGTACGGATCACGTCCCCGAGATAGGTCCGCTGCAGACAGCATGGGCTCCAGCAGGTGGGCCCACCTGGTGTTCCTCCTGTGTACGGATCACGTCCCTGAGGTAGGCCCGCTGCAGGCAGCAGGGGCTCCAGCAGGTGGTCCTACCTGGTGCTCCTCCTGTGTACGGATCACGTCCCTGAGGTAGGCCCGCTGCAGGCAGCAGGGGCTCCAGCAGGTGGCGCATGCCAGGCGGCGGCGGAACAGCGCCACCGGGACGCTCTTCCAGGTCGAAGAGCTGAACCCGGGGTCACAAAGAAGTTATACGACACGCGGGCAAACATGATGAACAGGTCATAGAGGTCGCACGGCTAAATGGCAGACGCAATGCGACTGAGGCACACAGGTCTCAGACATTGGTGGTGGTCTGATGCAGCTGACTAGCAGAGGGCATGCGCGTACCGCAGCGCCCTCCATTGTGAAGACTCCGAGCTCCTCTCTTTCACGCTTCTGGGCAATTTAAAACATCCTGAACCACCAACTAAATCAAGCTAACATGGTTATTGCAAACTTCGCCTGGGTACTGGCACAGCGAAGCGCATCATTTATACAAAAAAGAACCAGCGTTCTTTGTCTGGGGGTGGGGACCAGGACGGAGATGGGTGGGGACTGCAGAGTCGGTGGTGGGAGGCTGGTCTGACTTAATCCCTACACCGTGCTCTGCCTCGGGAAGCCCTGAAGCCCTGCACGCTGTCGCTCTAAGGCAGAAAGCCACATGTTTAGTGTCGGGCACTGGAACAGACGGCTGATCGCCTGCGGGCATGTGAGCGGGCCGACCCTCCAGGGGCGGATCTAGCCTGGAGTTTGGGGGGGGGGGGCAACCGTTCGTCGCTAGCTGGTTGGTGTGGAATCCGAGGTGCCTCTCGCAGGTAGATAGTAGGGACACCATTCAAGCACCGAAATGCTTTTGAATCTAAATCAGAAGGTAAAACAAAACAGTTTAAAACAGTTTAAGTTAAAACAGACGGCAAGTAGACGAAACTTTTATGAAGTTCTGGGAATGTTTTTTTTTTTGTTGGGGTGGGGGGGGGGCAAAACATGCTCTCAGAGTTTGGCATGTTTTGACAACATGCTCTCAGAAGCATGGCCCCGTGCCCCCCCCCCCCCCCCCTCCCCCCGGATCCACCTATGCGTCCCTCACCATCATCTGGAGAGGCCGGCGGTGGGCGGCACAGCAGCAGCAGCAGCCGCGGCGCACAGCAGAGCGGTTCGTCTCCACGGCGAACAGCAGCGGGTTGCCGTGCTGGTCCATCACCATCAGCTTCTCGCCGCTGTATTCCTGTCGGCACGACGGCGGCCGGTCTGCCGTCGCCGCCTCCTCGCTTTGCACGCGTGTTGCGCGGTGGAGAAGCTGGGCGGTCAGCCGATAGCAGGGGGGACGTAGGAGACCGAGGAGGGGGGAATCCCCTTTCCAGAGCAGTGGGTGCCTGCAGCCGCTACATCACCTGGGACCGGTGGCTGAGGTAGAAACGCTGCCTACCCTGGCACCGGCGGCTGAAGAGGGGAGGCTTTCTCACCTGGAACCGGTGGCTGAGGTAGAAACGCTGCCTACCCTGGCACCGGCGGCTGAAGAGGGGAGGCTTTCTCACCTGGGACCGGTGGCTGAGGTAGAAACGCTGCCTACCCTGGCACCGGCGGCTGAAGAAGGGAGGCTTTCTCACCTGGAACCGGTGGCTGAGGTAGATGGGCTGCATGACGAACAGCTCCACGTCCAGCAGCCTCGTCACCAGGCTCTCGCGGATCTCCGGCTGCTCGGCAATCCTGCCGATCAGCGTGTCGGCCAGCTGGAAGCGGCGCATCAGCGACTCGTGCGAGCCGAGCGCCGGCGCCGTCGGCTCCGTCAGCGAGAGGCAGGAGGCCAGCTCGGCCGGCGCCGACGTCACCGACGAGGCGTCTGGGTCGCCGGCCGACCCTGGCCGCGGCAGGAACGGCCGCCGGGCCGTCGTTGAGAGGCGTCAGCGGCCGCGAGGAGGAGGAGCGGGACGAGGGCAGCTCCCGTGTCACCGCACCACCTGAGGTCACACGACAATACGACTACGCGTGCGGACGCACGACTACGCGTGCGTCGCGGGGGGTCAGCACCCAAACACGCACTGTGGCAGCCACCTGCGCCAGACATGGGAGGGGGCCTGGGACGCAGATGAGTTGCTTGGCTAAGCACGCGGCAAACAATGTTTCTCCGTCGAGGGACGTGCAGAGACAACACGGTGTCGCACATTCACAAACCACTGCCAGCCTGGCGTTATTCCACGTGGAGACCAGTTTACCCGCTGCCCAATTAGCTGACCATTTCACCCGCTGCCCTGTTAGCTGAGCAGGTGACTCGCTGCTCATCTTATGCATATTTTGTCTTGTTTCACTAGAAAAATGTTAGATTTGCTATCCTTCGATTTTTGCTTGCAATTTCCCATTACTTTTGGTTCAATAGCCCAATTTTGGGCTTTAAATCTCATGTTTTTGCTGCTTGTTTTTTTGCCGCTATATTTCATTTGAATTGTTATCAACTGAAAGAAGCATTTCAGCTTATGTGTTTTATTCAAAGCTATCTGATATGAGGACAGATAAAGGTAAGTACAAGTGCGCATTAATTACCAGCTTCAGTGATGCCTGCTAACTTGCCTAATTATCCTAAATGTTTCAGAATGCTGCACTTTTTCAGATTAGCATCGCGCTAATTTTGGTTATTCAAATTCTACATTTGAAGCATTCAAAGCAAGCCAGTTTTTTCATAGCAACATCTACGAGGAGGGATAGAAATGACGTCCGTTGGTCTTTTGCAGGCATTTTTTATCATATTTGTTGGTGACCCTAGGGGGAACAGCAGACATGCGGAGAGGATTACCTGAGCCGCCGTCCGCCCGCCGACACGCGTGACCTGCCGAGTCGACCTGACAGCACCTCTCGCCTCCTCACCGACGACGGCGTCCAGGCGTCACGGGCGCCGCTCCTGCCAAGTGACCTTGACCTCTCGTGTGACCTGACCTCGACAATGCGGGTCGGCGTGACTATCCTCACGGCCTGGCAGCCCTCGCCGCAGTCCTCGGCTGACCCGGGCAGGGCGGGGTCACCAGGGGTCAGCAGCCTCCCGTTGGAGGCCAGGTCAGGGTCACCATGCACGACCACGCTAACGGTGATCTTGCTGTCGTCGGTGCAAGACATGGCGTCTCTGCCGAGTGTTCGCTCACTTCGTTCCCAACTTCCTTACAGTGACATCAATGCATTTCTTGCTAGCTTTCACCTACAGAAATGTTATAACAAGTGCTAAGATTATTTTAAGGTGACTTCCATAGATGTTGAGGAAGAAGGTTCATGGCAGGCACCAGTGGTGTGAACAAAGACTTGCAAAAAAAACGCTTAGGGGAGAATCACAGTATATCACTTGGGAGGTGTCCGGCCTCTTACATCGAAGAAAAGGTATAACAAAAGTCTGCAGAGGTCTGCATGGTACATGAAGCTGTGACAAAAAGAGAGCGGAACAGTGTTTTTATGCACTGAGAGCAGCCGATTTTTAAAGCTTATTTTCATTGATGTCAAGCTCGTGCAATTGAAATGTGTGCCACTGCCAACAATGCTTGATATGAGGATAAGGTCAGGAAAACTATGAGGCTGTTCAGCGCATTTGTGAGGAACATTATTCACCTAGATAAGACGGTAGTATTGACATTATTCCTCCGAGAAAGGCCAGGAGAATGGAGTTATGGTTGGGTCTATATTCCTGCAGCATTCTTTTATCGAAACAAGAGCAGAGAAAGGCCTTAAAACTATATTGTTATCTACATTTCTGAGCATGATGCGCCATCAGCGCAGTGCTTCATCCAGGCACCGCATGGGCACATGCCGCACAGTTTAGGTGTGTGTGGGGGGGGGGGGGGCGGAAGCATTGTTCTTTGGAAAATGCGCAAGGTTTATTTATTGCAAAGTTTGTCCTACACCTTGAGATGAACGTGTGTGTGGTGGCACGCCCATGTGAGAAGCTTGGGCACGGACGCTTCGTCGCCAAATTAAGCTCCGTTTCCGGCGTGGCGCCATTCCACAGTACCGCGCTGCTACAGTCGGTGCACCTAATTTTGAACAAAGATTGCACCTACAGCACGTAGTTTTGGAGTTACGTGGCGTGTTTTGCAGTTCCTAGTCACGTTGTGTAACTTCATAGTTTTTATCCACGAAGACACTTAGATTGCTGTTGACTTTGACCGCTCATATCAGCATCGCTAATGAGCTGTGCTCTCAGTTATGTAAGTTGTTTCTTGTAAGCCATCTCATGAAACGACAGATGAAAAATACGAAGCAGTCTAACAGAAGGTATAGTGCCTTTCGTACGTGACAAATTCCGTTTGAAGTCGGCTATTGTCTATACAAAGTGTGAAACCTTTCGTCCTGATAAGCGCATGCGCATATTCGTGAACGAGACTAGCTAAACGAATTTTGCCTGCTCCAATTCACAATCAGTGTTTTCGCTATACTGTACACGTATTTGCACGCATTTGTGGTCATTTTAAGGGAGTGTCGTTGCGTTTAACTTGCGTTGTTTCAGCGTCCCAGCAATAGCATTTTTAAGCTTTCAGGTCAACTTTCATTGCGGAAGTTGCCTTTTTCGTACGCCAGGGGAATTGGTCTCCAGTTCTCTTGACAGGCTGCCGACCCAGGTCGTAGGTTTTGATCTCAGAGACATTCAAAAGGGGAGCGGCGTGATCGGCAATTCATGTTCCACACCGTACATGAGGACACCCCTGCGGGGGAGAAATGTCCAGGACACCTAATCTTCTGTTGAAATTATTAGAGAGGTGCACAAGCGTTCTACGGTATGCAGGCTTGCTTTTAAAAAGGAAACGTAGTGTACGCTGTCGCGCGCCCTTGTGTGCAGCGCCAACGACCGCAGTGGCCGTACTAGCGCCTAATGACCCTGGTGCTGTCGGGATTCGAACCCGGACTCCTCACGCTGGAGTCGAAGTAGTTTTTTTATCAGTAATCAATTCTGACTGAATCTTGAACATTTTAAGACGAACATTGATAACCCACGTTAATGCAAGTTTAGGACCCCATTTCATCAACAATCTATGTTCAGGGACTCCTCAATATCTCTGAAGAAAACAGAAAAACACGGAACTGGAGCCTTTGTGACAATTATTGGACCACCTTTGGCGGCCAGGGATGTTGTTGCGTCAATGAGGGTTCCTATGCTGACGCAGAGCTGCGCGGATCAGAAGGCCTCCCGTGGCAGGGAGGGGAACAATGTGATATTATATATCCTTCCAATGGCCCCTGGATCGACCAGAAGATCCCGCCCCGTGTCGCCAGAATGACAGCCAGAAGACGCTTCGCGATGGGACGGAGTGGCCCTTCAGCTCTTGACCGGAACCGGTGATGTGCCCCTGGCGTTCTACTCAAGGGCCTGTTGCCCGGAAGGAAATAAGGGGCCTCATTGTTATTGAGTAGAGTTGGCGGTTCTCATTATTTTTTAATAGAGTGGGTCGAAATATATTTTATTAAACGAGCAAGGCCATCTCATGTTTGCCCAAGAACGTTCATTTTTCAGAACGGACTAGTGAAAAGTGCATCAAAAGGTTTGAACATGCCCGCCCGCAACCTCGAGAGCAAGGACAGCGATGGTCTGGGTTGCAGATTCTGTAAAACCGAACGGCGTCGGTCACTGCAAGTGCCGCCAGATGGCGGGCACCGTGTTAATCTGTCTTCTGGACAGATTCATAGTTACAGAAACACGAAAAAATGGAGCATCTACCTTTTCTATTCCAATTCCACCACCAGATTCCAGTACCACTTCGCTGTGCTTTAAGGGCCAATCTATTCTTTTTATCAGTCTAAGAATCGCACACGTAAAATATGCGTCCAGACTGCCTTGTAGATGTAAGAGTTGGTGTCCTGAAGTATTCAGAAGTACTTTTTCAGAAGCGTCATCATTTTCTTCCACCCGTTGGCCACGACTCGGTATTAGACGCTGCGTGGCCTACGGAGACTGCAACGCCTGACATCGAGGTTTTTTTAAACTAAGATTTGCGAGTACGCATGCTCAAAATTATGTTACATAAATTGTATTACTAAGCGATTTAAGTGTTTAACTGTAATCATTTCAGAACCGCTATCATTTTTGTTCATCGGTGGGCCGTGATGAAAAGATAACCACTAAGCTGGCGCTCTGCGGACTATGGAGACTGCAGCACCTGGTGTCGAGGTTTTTGTTGCCAAAATTTGCGATCGCGCACGTTAAAAAACCACGTTATATAAATTGCATCACTAATCGATTCTGACTGACTGTCAAACGTTTCCAGACCAACATGGCTTGGCGATGTTAATACACATTATTAACCACTCGTTCTACAATCAAAATTTTCGCCTTCAAATTTCGATTAAACATATCGATCTACAATTTACCCTCGCGATGTCCTTAATGTTTGTAGAACGCAGATAAAACATTATGATAAAGCTAGCTTCTGAGTTCTATCGGTTAGAAAAATTCCACTAAGCCATGGCAAATTAAGAACCCTGGTGGTTTATTTCATGCGGTCGTTAAACGTTTGATTTCTGCAGTTTATTGACCTTAACACGCACTCGGATGGGGGTCAAATTGACCCCCCCCCCTCCGAAGGTCTTACCACAATGGTGTCCCAATGGTGAGGCGTAGCTGCGCCAAACTTTCCATAGCTGTAGACAGTTCAATGGCAGATCGTTTGGCATCAAAATTTTAATGTACCTTGTGAGCTTGCTGACCTATGGCAGGTTAAAGTCAGGCCATGGTTTCAGCGAAGTTAACTTCTAGGGAATCGTTCAATCTGATGTAACAATAGAGTGTTAGACGAAGTCATACTCTCTGAGATGCTTTCTTAGGCAACACGAATAGTGCATGAGCAAATTACGTTGACCTAAGGGCAGGTATAGGGGTCAGACCAAGGTCAAAACCAACCTGTTTTATTACTCTAGGGCTTACTGTATGAGATAGTTTCTGGTGCCCATTTCGGATTTATTGATAGCAGGAGCCGCATTATATCTCTTCTATGGACTTCTTAGAGGTTAGAATAGGTTATTGATCTAAAATGACCTAGATTAACATTTTGTTTTTAGAAGCATAATGTCTAGCGTAATCTTTGTCGTTTATTCGAATGCAAAATTCAGAGCAGTCTTGTATGCTTTTTGTCACCATGACCTTCAAAAGATCAAACAAGGTCATTGACCTTAACTGAACATGCGACCTTTTGCTTAGAAACAGCTATATAGGTTCTAGAGGCACGTTAGAGACCAACCTAGAATTTGACCTTGTTTAACCTTATTTGACCCGAAAGTCATGATCTAGGAACCTCAAACGTTGACCTAAGTGAGTTCATGTGCAGGTCAACACACCCTGTGAATTTGGTGTTTTTAGCTCTCTTAGTTCCCGAGATCTCAGGGGGTCAAATTGACCCCCAGCCGAGCGAAGGGAATCTAGCCGGCCACACGGGCGCGTGTTAAAATGTAAACAAAATTGATTTCACGGTAGCTGCTGGTTTCTGTTCTGGTTACACCGTAAAAAACAATGAAACGAAGAAAAACGGTATCCTTGTTAACAAGCAAACTATATCACGGGATATCTTTTGGTGGGGGGATCACCATAAAGGGGTATTTGTCAACCCTGCGTTCCTCTTAACAAGGCTCTGCCTACCCCCTGCATGCACACAAATACAGATCAAGTCATCTACGTTAAATGATGGGCAATGGAATGTCCGCTGGTCCAATTCATACCTAAAGTAGACAGCTTCCCGGTGGCATTTTTTCTGGGGTGGGGGTGGTGTTAGGGAAGATAATTCGGAAAAAGGTAGTGTTGCATGTGTCCAACGCATGTTTTACATCACAGTTAGTAGCATTGCTGATCCAGAAATGTGCAACAAAGCATCCATACCGTCAGTTCGCGGTCAGTCATTCGGAGACAGCCGGACCAGGGCAGTGGCCACCGACGGCTGACGGGAGCAGAGCTCAGACAAGGAATATATGACAGACTGGTCTTCATTCTTTGGCTTGGTTTTCAAAGGAGAATCTCCAGTTGCATGGCTTTTGTCACCCTGTTGTACCAGCCATCGGTTCACTTTCAAAATTCTCACCAACCTATGCTTCGGCCATGTTTTAGCATCTACCATGTAGAGACAGAAGCCTCCTCAATGACCCAAAATGCC